TTTTTAGGTAATTTTACTTTTTTAAAAAAAGTTAATATATATATATATATATAAATTTACATACTATGAAAAGAGACTAACAATTTTAAATAAGTCATATGATTAAATTAGCATTATTTAAAGGACTTTAAAAAATTTACGAAAAAAACGAGATAATTACCTGGAATGTGCCATCGCCCAAGGTATGACTGACGATTTTTCAATTTGTGATTTACCATTTTTGTAAAATTTCCGTACCAAACAATATGCGATGCAACAAGCCATTGAAATAGCTGTTACAAGCGCAAATGTTGTTGCCAAAATGATTATTGGTGAATAGAGAGACTTTTCCTGTACCTCATGAACCAGTGGTGGTTTTTTATCGGTACCTTTCATATCAGTCACATTGGATAGTTCCTTTTGATAATAATCTTCAGTATGATTTTCACCTCCTATATTTGTAATATCATTGTTTCAATTTTAATTTATATCATTAAAACAAATATTTGTTATTTATATTTTAGTAAAATGCTTCATTATTATTAAATCAATTTGTATGGAACTAAATTGAATATTTTTGACCAAAAGCAAAGAAGAAAAAAAGAAAGCCTACCAACTGGCAATGTTGCCATATCATCATTGGCCAAAATTAGCCCAGTGAAAAATGGAACGATGACATCATCACTGTGACATAGTTGATCATTCATTGCAAAAATTGTCAACCTATATTCCTCATTTGGTGCCAAATCGATAGGTAACACAGTTGAAAGCGATGTCACATTCTGTAAATTACAAATCGGTCTAATAATTAAGGAAAAAAAAGTAAAAAAAGAAAAAGAAAGAGGGAAATGCAAATTAAGCGAATCCAAAATATAATAATTATCTCTTCACTTGGCATTTTTAATTACATTATGCTATTAGCATTTACCTCTTCAGCATAAACGACATGTGATGGCATATCAGCGATACGATACTTGAACGCATTTGGATTAGCAAAACTGAGAGGGTTGTGATAAAATCTGAAATCATGATTAAATTTCTATAATAAATTTTACGAATTACTGGTTAATTAATTAGATGATTGAAGAATAAAAATCATTACTGTAATTGATTATAAATTGGAGTGTAAAATACACGAATTATTGATTGATAAGCAATAGAATAATGAAAGAGAAGGAAAAAAAAGAATGCAAAACACCAATTTATATCGTACCTTTCGCTGAGATCAAATCGGAATTGGTGGGTATGACCGCTAATAGCGGGATACATCCAGCTAACAGCAGCTTTTATTGTGTCACCTTTTTGATATGTCCGAACTGATACATTTTTAGCTACTGGTACAGTGTTTTGACCTAAATTTAATAATTTTTGCACAGAAAAAAAATAAATGAATTTATTGAACAGTTTTACCAATATCATAAATCAAAATAAATTAATCAATGATATGATAACATACTAGCACAGCTACAGTATCCTTCAATACATGTAGGTACCATATATTTGATACCAATAGCAAAATTTGGATCACCATAAGGATATGGCATTGAATGCATATGTACAAGATATGTACAATCATGTTGAATTTCCAATGGCTCAGAATTAGTTGTCATCGCGGGAATAATATGAGATCGTTCCATCTGTAAAATTTGTTAGAAGCAATTTTTTTCTCTTTTGGAAAATTAAAAAAACTAGAATGACTCTTTTTTTAAAAAAAAAAAACACTTTTCATCGATTATTTTCGTTACAAATGACTAATTGGTTTATTAATACAATAAATGAACGAATTTTAATGAAATATGTGAAAAATGTTCTTGTCTTGTTTTACTTTAAACGAATGTTAAAAACTTATTCCATTTAAGTTTTATGGGAGAGAAATGACAGGAAACTTTAATTTGAAAATATAAAAATTTATTAATTGATAAATTTAGGATGACTTTTCTGTTAGCTCTTGCTTTTTCAAAGGATCGTATTTGTTAATGTTTTATTGAAATTACGATGTAAAATTTCAAAAGCTGTGAAATGTTCAACATTAACAGATTCAAATAAAATAATGTTGTCCAGCGGATTGTTTCGTTCATTAAAATGATATCTCAATGATATCTCAAAAAAGGTAACCGACCAATCAATAATTACTCTTCATCATCTTGAAATTTTTATTTCTGTTTATAAATGAAAGATGAGATGAATAAAAAGTCAAATTAAAGTCTAACTGTCAACCTTGCCCTAAATCGTTTTTTTCGAAAACTTTTTTTTCGGAAAAGTTTTTGAACAATTTTTGAAGCTATTTAATTTTTCATTCATTCCACCTCGTTGCATATAAAATCTAATGGAAGCAATCCGAAGAATGAAACTGAAATCTTTGTAAAAAAAATCTCATTTCATTTTCATCTTATCATTTCGTCTATTTCTTTTTTCATCTTACTTCCTCATTTCATACTTTTCCAGAATATTTTCATATTTAATTTAAAACTACCAAAAATTTCTGTTAATTTATCCATCCCTTACCGGTCCAATTTCATAAGTGTAATATCCAGGAAAGTCGCGTTCACACCAATTTTCTACGGCTGTTACTCGTAAATAAAATCCAACACGGCCACCGTCTAAAATAAAAAAAAAACATAAAATTTTGGATTAAATTTTATAAAAATAAATTTTTTCTAAGAATAAAAATATTCCTTTAAAGTATGACTAAATTGTTTTATATTTGCTTTCTCTTTCACTTTTTTTTTCTTTTTCTTTTTCTCAAAATTTCAGATTTTTCACAGTTAACATTTTAGACCGGAAATTTGTTATTTGCTTTAAATTCGATGGAAAACATTTTCCAATATGTTAAATGTGAATTTTTCTTTTAAAAAGAAAAAAGATTTTTGCTATAAGGTTTATAATATTTTTGCTATTTTCCAGATGTTAAATTACTAAAAAAGTTTGATTTGGTCGTCCCATTAAAAGACTTCTTGTATGCTATTATGACCAATGTGATTTTCCAGATGTTTGCTAAAAATACTGAATCTATCATGCTCAACATAATAATGACAAGAATCACAATAATAATGACAACAACAATAATAATAATAGTAATAGTAATAATAATAATAATAATGATAATAATAATAATAATAATAATAATAATATAATAATAATAATAATAATAATAATAATAATAATAATAATAATAATAATAATAATAATAATAATAATAATAAT